TAGATGGTTGGCTAAAAAAAATTTGCATATCGTGTTTTTTATGTATTTTTTGTTCCTCTTTCAGAATCTCAAAGAAAATTTAAGTTTTGACTTAAGGATTAAAAGTTATCATTGTTTAAAAAAACCAAATTTTTTGGTTTTTGTTTTATTAAAACTATATTTTCAATTGGAAATCTCTTCAGGAAAGATTTAGACTGGCAAAATATCGCGCCTAAAACGTTTGACCTTTCATTTAAGCATTGCTAGAAATTTTAATTTTTTCGAAATTCAAAATGGCGGTTCAAAAATGGCCGACAAAATATCTAAAATTTTGAGTAGTCAGAAAAATGAATTATTGACACATTTTCTCATCACAAATGACATCACAAACAATGTTATAAACAATTTTTCTTCATACCCTGGTCGAAAGTACGCACTTCCTGTAGCCTTATCGCAGCAGGAAGTCGAAGATTTGTGCATTGGTTGAAATACTCGAGCGCCCTCTGTAACAGCGGGAGCAAAAAGTGTTCGACATTATCTGTGTTACCTGCAGAGAATTTAAAGCGCGAATCGTTCACACGCGTAGTGGTTGCCGCATTGTGTTACTTAACCTAAAAGTTTGTCTTTTCTCGGTGATTTTACGTGAATATTTCAATCAAAAAATGAATGAAATCATTTCATCCGATGATTCTGCAGATGAGGAGGTTCGCTATATTTTTCCTGTAATCTGCACTTAAAACTGAAGATCCCTGCCGAATTTCAACTCACCAGGTTGAGATTTGTAAAAGTTAAGGGGGGGACAGCCCATTTTGCGTGGCTGGGACGGACACACGAGTGATTTCATAAGGGTTCCGTCAGTACACCTATGGTGTACGGAACCCTAAAAAGGTATAAATTCAAGAAAAAAATTTTTTTTCCGGGTTTCAAAGTAACATATGTTTTAAAATATTATAAACTTTGTAAAAAAAATTAATAAGAAAATTTTACTTACCTCAGGGTAAAAAAATAAATGAAAACTATCCCAAAAAAACGAAACAATTTAAAAATCTGCCAAATTCGCCTAAAATTAGTTACTCGGGGGTTTTTGGGGTCGCTGTTTACGAATCCAATGTTTGTTTTCAAAAATTCAAAATGGCGGATCCAACATGGCGGATGTAAACATTTTCGTCATTTTTCAAACTTTAAATATTTATATCATATGTACATTCTTTCAAAAACTTAAAAAATTTATTTGCTTAAACAATTACATTTGTTATAAACAAATTTTTTATTTTTTAACAAATAATTAGCTTTTTTCATCAAACAAAATTTTTTCCTTTTTTATATTTACTATCATAAAAAAGAACTCCTTAATGAAATGGGAATACTATAAATTATTCATTTAATTTTAATAAACATTATAAGTTAAGAAATATTTATATTTTTAATGAAGTAAACCATTATTCAGTTAAAACAGTTTACATTTAAATGCATATAAATAAATATATTTTTTCTGTGAAAAAAGAACAAAGTTAAATATTTGTTAACTTATAATGTTTATTAAAATTAAATGAATAATTTATAGTATTCCCATTTCATTAAGGAGTTCTTTTTTATGATAGTAAATATAAAAAAGGAAAAAATTTTGTTTGATGAAAAAAGCTAATTATTTGTTAAAAAATGAAAAATTTGTTTATAACAAATGTAATTGTTTAAGCAAATAAATTTTTTAAGTTTTTGAAAGAATGTACATATGATATAAATATTTAAAGTTTGAAAAATGACATAAATGTTTACAAATACAAAAGGAAGTTGATTATTGTTTATATAATTGTTAATATTAATGATAATTTTTAACTTTAAATTAATTGTTTACTAAATTAGATATAAATTCGAACTTGTCTGCAAAAAAACCAATTTTTTTTATGAAGAAGGTCCGAAGTAATCTATTTGTTAATTAACATTGTTTGCAACAATTTAAATAAATTTTATTATGCTTTATTAATTGTCCGGTGGTCATACTAGACTAATTTAAATTGATTTCGATCATGTGTAATGGAAAAATAAAAAAACTAACATGATTTTTTCTAAAAATATTGTAATTTGTCAAATTTTTGAGTAACAAGAAAAAAATAAACAATTAAAAATTCAAAAATCGACTTTGATGGATCTCTTAGTAATTTTAAATCAAGAACATCAACATCCGATAAAATTTGTAGTTTCTAGACAATTTTCAATAGTAAGTTGAAAAAAAATCCCACTGTTCATCGCGCTGGAGTGCGCGAGCGGACGGACAAATTTTACTTATTACACTATATCTTTGGCAAATTGTTTCGGCCCATTTTCAGACTTATAACTTCTTTTAGGGGAATTCCCAAGCTTTCATTTGAGATTATTAAAAAGAAAATAAAAACTACCGAACTTGCACAAAATTGCAAAAAACTATTTATTTTAAAAAATTTTTGCAAAAAAATTTTTTTTTTATTATATAAATAAAATATTTTAAAAGTACACAAAAAAACCTTTCTAAAACACTACTTACTTTTTTTAATTGAATAATTTAAGTAGAAACTACAAATGTTTAAAGAATGCATGTTCGAGTTGAAGCTGAAATTTCAACCCCCCACCCTTTTGATTGGGGTGGGGGGTTGGACCTGTAAATTGGTGTAGTAACTTGTACCTATTAGGGTAACATATTTCCAAAGTATAAAGGAAATCCAAGAACTTTTTTTTATTTTTGGGGCAGTTCAGGAATAATGCCTCATATAATAAATATGTTTTTTTTGTTTTAATATAATTTTAAGCTACCAAAACAACATAAATTCTTTTTGTTTGTGTGGTGTTCTTATGCCATGTCTTTTTTAAGAAAGGATAATTCTCATACTTAATTACTATTCATCATAATTAATTAAAAATTATTATCATATTCAACAATTAGGTTAGGTTTCTTTTAGTGTCCATGACAGCTCCAAACTCAACAATACCAATTCAAATTCGCGCGCCATATGTCGGCCCCGACCTAGCTTTAATATATATACACACACAATTTGACAGCTAACCTATCTTGTGTTTCTAACGTTTCTAAAAATGTATTATATATATTTTTTTTAAATAAATTAAAACTTCTAATAGTTAACAATCATGATGTCATGTCAATTATGATTATATATTAAATATTGTTATCACTTGTATATGAGTTTTGTGTTTTGTGTTGTGTTGTGACAGGCATGCTTGTGTGTGTCCGTGTCCGTGTGGTTCCACCTTTCGAGTTCTTCGATATTTCGATTTCAACTCGAACTCTCTTTTTTAAGAAAGGACAAAAAATTATTTAATAATTATAATTTATTAATATTATCTACTTATACATTTTATAGATTTAGAAATACTTATCGTTATCAAAAATCTCTTTTAACAATTGTCGAAAACTATTTTTGATACATTTTAGGTTTACTTTTCACTGACAGTTTGTAAACAACCGACAATCATATCAATTTTTAATTTTTATTTAAAAAAGTGAGAGGAATGACGGGTGAGAGGAATGACGATTTAAACATTTTTTAATTTTATTTAATTGGCAAATAATTTTCCTCCAGCTTAGAATGCCCTATCATGTTCATAATCATATTTTATTCATATTTTAGAAAATTGTTCTTAAATATCATAACTTTTAGAAAAAATTGATAAAATACCAATTTTCATGTTTTAAATAATTGTCTTACGTATTGAAAGAATGAAAAGAACTTAGATGACAGGTTAGAAAATCGATTTTTGAGGTGGTAAAATATTTTAAAAATACATTAAACAATAAAATTTTACAACTTTTTCTTGCAGAACATTTAGAAAAAGTCATAAAATAGTGAAATATCACTTAGTATTTTCCCAAATGATTATAATTATTTAGAAAATCTTGACTACATACAAAATGAAGTTTTTTGGAGAATCACCCATTAATTGAAAAAATGAATAAATTTAAGTCACATTAAATTTGTAAACATATGAAATAACCTCCACTCGTGTCACAAATATCACCGTAAACAAATGGCTGCCTTTATACCCTTGTTGCTTAATATACTATTTTAATATAAAAATTTTAAAAAAATTTCTTTACATTTCTTAAAAGTAGAGAAAAAACTAAAATTTTCATTTTTTGATAACTTTTTTCTAAACTAAATATTTGCAGACTTATAAGCTATACTGAATACAAGTCTACATTCTCAAATCCAAAATTTAAAAAATTCTTAACTTGAAAATAGTATTTGAGAACTTGTATATCTTCAGAATAGTTAAATAGTTATATGCCTAGAAAAATCGATTTTTTAAAAATCATTGACCTATAAGTATCCTTAAAAATTGTATCTTTAAGGGTTTAAAAAAACGATTTTTCTTTTTTTTGCTTTAAAATGTTCCTGAGTATCATAAAATTACTATTCTATAACGTTTTTGCAGAAATGTACAAATGAAAAAAGTTATTACAATTTTTATGGCCGTGTATCAGCTCACTTGAATACGTTAACGAATACTTTAAAAAAACTTTTCTCGAAAATACATTTTTGAAAACAGGGAAACACTTCTCTTAAAATCTACCAAACCCATTTAAATAAAACAAAATCCATACGATTCTTTTATTTAAAAAACTTGACAACAAACCTTTTATAAAGGTTTGTACCCTAGATATTATTTCTTACGGGAGTGAATTGACCTAAAAACACATCTTTTTTAGATTTGTATTTAGTAAAGGATTAAAAATTTTTTTTTTTAATTTCGAAGTTCTATTCCTGGGTTGTAAGGAGTTTTTCTTTATTAGTTTTTAAAAACAGTAAGCCTTTATGTCATGATTCAGAAAACTCAGTGCCTATTGGAATATTTGAAATGAATTTGACTATTTTTTAAAATAAAATTTTCTATATTATAATTAACAAATATAAATGAAATTTGAAGTTTGTAAATCATTTGATACTATGTGTGTTTATGGGAGTAGTTCTTTAGGAACATTGAAACGATAAGAATCGAGTAACAAGTAGGTGAATGTATTCCATCCTCAGGTTCGAATAAACGAGGCTGTCTTGTTCACAGTATACAAGTTTTCTTTAGCGAGCGGTAATGAATTCCAGTAACTCCGCTCTACTGCAGTGATTTTGCTTTAAAACTCTAATAATTTATTTTATATAAATCTGTGATGGCACGCAGTTTTGGCTGCTTACGTTACCTACTTCTCTCGTGCGTTGTATTTTTTGGAGTAAGTGTTCTATGACTGTGTTTAAATTGAAAATTTAACATTTTTACTTCTAGCTTTTACTTGCTTTTACTACATTCGCTAAACTATACCATAGGCATTACAAAGGTAAGCGACTTGAATATAGTCATCGCGTACCTGATCAAAATATTAAGGACACACCGGTTTCTAAAAACAATGTTGTTTTGTTTAATATCAGCAAGACCATTATAAATAATTCTATGGCTAATGTTTAATTTTTTTAGGGTTTATTCTAATAAATTATTTATTTGGGCTCTTATAATATTCATGAAACGTTTTCGGTTTTTATTTATTTTTACAATTAATTTTCATGTTATCTGTTTGTGATAAATATTTAGTTCGTTATTAGTTAAATTCAATAATTAAATTAATTCTTAAGAAATTGTTTTTTGCATATATTAAGTACCTTTACACATTGTTGGATACATAGGGAAGGACGAATGGTTGCCACTCCTACCAATATTTTCTTTATATGAGAAACAAAGAGACAAATTTGTAATGCTATCATTTTCATTTTTTTTAAATATCTCTAGTTTAGTGAAAAAGATTGTTTAGATTTTCGTGTAGATTATTTCTATGAATTTTTATGAACTGTAAAGTAATAATCAAATTTATGAAATAAAGTTCTGTTTGGAAAATTCTTTCCCCTTTTGCTTCTTTGTGGAGGAAACTTTGTAGTCCTTTAAGTTATAAAACTTTTCAACATGGTTTAAAAAAATTTGTAGATCCCTTTTTGTATGTATAGGGTTGTCACGCTTATGCTATTTTCAAATTCCCTGAATTTTTCAGGTTTTCCAGGTTAAAAAACGGAATTTTTCTAGGTTTTTAAAACGAAAATTATTCGAAAATATCAATAACTTGATTTTTAAATAAATATTTAACCATTATTATTTTTTCATAGAAATTCAGATTTTCAAAAATTTTAAATTCAATAACATATAAGAATATTATTATAAAACATAAAGATATCGATCACTCCGAGTCTTCAACTAGGAGTGATCGCTTTCTTCATATTTTATAATAATTAAAACTTGCTACCTTGTTACTGCAACTTCTTTAAAAATTATTTTAATCATTACGATTATTCATTTCTAGAATTTCCAATTAAAATTCTTCTTTAAGTCAATTTTTAAAAATAATTTTTGAAAAAATTCTTTTAGAATTTTCAAATTCATTTGTTTGCAATTTAATTTTACGAAATTTTGATTATTTTTATTCATCAATTAAATATATTAGAAATTAAAAACTTCAAATAATTAAAAAAAAATTCCATTAAACTTTTTGAAAAAATATAATTCTACAGAATTCTTAATTAAAAATATGAAAAGTTCAAATTTTCAAAGATTTTAATTTGAAACCTTTTGAAAATTCAATTATTTCTAAAAATCTACGCCATAATGCTTTTAATATTTAATTATAATCTAAAATTTTAACTAAAATTCATTATTAAATAAATATTTATTAGAAAATTCTACGAGAATTTAATTATTTAACTACAAAAATAAACATTTTATTAAATAATTGAATGTTTCTTAAAATTGAATTTTCATAAAGAATCTTATCAACAAATTTTTAAATAATTTAATTCTCTTGACAAATTTTAATAAAATTTTTAAGAATAATTTCATTTTTTGAGAAATTTGATGAAAATTGTATTAAAAATAATTGGAATTCTGCTGAAAATTTTATTAAAATTTTTGAAAATAATTGAATTTCGGAGAAAAATTTTCATTATGTCTTTGTGAAAATAATTAAATAATATTAATTTTAAAATATTTAAGTAAAATTAGATTTCGAGAATAAGCAAAATAACTTTAGAAAACAATGATTTCCAGGATTCCGATCAAAATTTCCTGACTTTTCCAGGTTTTTTCAAGGTTTATAAAATTCCCTGACATTTCCAGGTTTTCCAGGTTGCGTGGCAACCCTGTATATACCCATATACTATATGATAACTCGAAGAGCTTTTAACGAATTTGGGTAAAAAATTTTTACTTACATTTATCTTATTAGTGTCACAAAATAGACACAAAGATTATTAAAAATCCTCAGAAAATATTTTTTTTCAATCTTTAATAACAAATTCATTCTTTCAAAAAAATTTTTCTATTTCGGATATTGAAATTATTATATAATAGGATTTTATTTCTTACATTTCTAAAGACTTTTCTAAATTAAATTAACTAGGTATAAAAGATACTGATTTGTAAAAACAATTCTTAAGAATCCCCATCTTGTTTAAATAAGTTTGGTGAAATTATATCTTCACTTTATGGTGCAAGAAATGTCCCCTCAAGGTCACAGTAACAGCTTAAAAAAGAGGATAGTAATAATATTAGAGGAAATGTACTTTTTAGATTCTGCAAGACTCTAAATCTTTAATTTTGTATTAATATATTAGTTTCTTTTAATTCAACAGAACCGATTCGTTTATTGAATTCGTTTATTGAATTGAATTGAACAATCAACGGAAGAAATTATAAAACAAAGTAGGAGATTTTTCCTTTTTTTCACCAAAAATCTAAATTGTATAACAAAATTTCTAATTCGGTTCCAAATGTGAGAAAAATGAGCTGTGCACAAGGACAGCTCATTTTATGAATATTGAGCCGTTCAATTAATCTAGAAAAAAATAATCTAGGAAAAAACTTTTTCACTTTTTTGAATTTTGACAATTTTTTTCACGTTTCTAGTGTCAATAAAAATATAACCATTTGAGTTAATTGTGAGCATTAAACTAATATTTTAAACAAAATCTAAATACAAATAATGTACTACGAAAATTCTACATTAAAAAGAATAGCTTGTTCCATATTTACTTTTGATTTCCCGCCAAAGGAGAGGAAAACTGTAGAAAACCTCTCCCGAGTACAAATAGTTTATCGACTGCCGAGTTCTGTTTGGAATTTTAAGTTCAAAAGAATTTTTTCCACAGACACGTTTTTTTCTACATGGGACATAAAGTTTATTTCTATTTTCTGCGTACTCACTTTTTAAACACATTGAATTATTAACATAAACAATTTAAGCCGGTTGTGTTGATCGCACAAAATCGAAATAGCAGGGCTATCGAAACGTAAAATTGAGTTTTTTATTTTTTAATATTTGACTTGGAGGATTGATAAATTTCTTGACGTTTTACATTGAATTTCTGTCTTTACAGCATAAAATTGGTTCAAAATAGGTAAATAGGGGAAACTTCGATCAAAAAAAGGAAAAATAGGGAAATATATAAATGCAGATTTCTTAATCAAAAACAACAAATCAAAAATAGTAGATATAAACAAGTAACTGATTAGAGGTAGAATTTCCGTGCTGGATCACGAAACTCTTAACATTCATAAGATACTACTGTCGATCTATTGTGATGGTGTAGTAATAGTAATATCAATTAGGGTATTTTAGAGTTTAGGCTGTGAGCATAAGTATATCGCTTTAGAAAAAAATTTTGAAGTTACATTTAACAATTTAAAAATGACTGACACAACATGATTGCTACATAAGATTAAACAAATTTTATAAGATTGTCATTCATTACACTGTCACGCAAAAAAAAGTTAATGTTCTAAGCTACAGGTCAAGCAATTTCACATTTTAACAAAATTTCATATTTCCTGTAATCTTGACCCATCTACTCTATATTTACAAAATTAATTATTTTTTCAGATTATTGGAATAATTGTGAGCGTTACTTCTGGATATTCCATTTATCGATTATATGAATATGCTCCTCTTACACCAAATAAAGTGTGTGGACCAGCTATAATTTTATTGGGAATGGGAATTTTATCAATTCTTCTTGCATGGTGGGCATACTATTCAGTGGATCACAACAATCTATCTCCAGCAGTTACGGTAAGTCTAATAAAATATCGTACTCAATATAATTTCTAATGAACTTATCGAACACTTTGAAAATTTTCATATGAGTAAAAAAATGTATTATTAATTTTATTTACAGTTTAGTTTCTTTCTTGGATTAATCACACTTGTAGAATTCTCTACAGGAATTTGGTCTTTTGTTAAGCATGAAGAAATAAATGAAATTCCTGCCTTTGAAGCAAAAAAAGCTTTTTCTTTAGCTATAACGGATCATAAAAAACTTTGGGATCGTATGCAATCAAAGGTAACGAGGTATTATCAATATTAATTTAACATTATCATTACATTTTCTTAATCACCAGAGTCACAGTTTTCCAATCTTCATAACAGTTCATCATATTGTGAACTTCTCATACAATTTTCTCGATTTGGACAGCCACATTTTTCTGTAGTATTAATCCAAAGGCTACATTTAGATGCTCTTATTATAAAACTAATTTAATATACACATTTTAATGCGCTAATGACTGACTTTCAAAATGAAAAAGTTACACGCTATTAACTGATTCTGAGTTCCGAAAAGTTAAACAATTTGAAAAACATGAAAGTTAACCTTTAAAGTACTAATGTACATACTGAGTACAGATCGTCCAGGTGTTTTGTTCAAATGCGTTCCATTCTTAAAAAGATGTCATTGTTTATTGTTAAATATTTTTTAACAAATTAGCTTTATATTAACAAAACTATAGTTTTCATATTCCTCAGAACGTTTCCTATCGATTAAAAAAAGTCGACTGAATTTCATCAATTTGAGACAAAGATATAAGGTTTTAAAGTATTGCATGGTACAAATCGACCACATGTGTATCGAACGTAAGTTTTTGAAGTGTGTACTTTAAGGGTTACACGGAGAGAGAATATAGATTATATTTTATATAATATTTATAATATTTTCAAATTGGGGAAAAAGTGCGACAAAGCGAAATTTTGATATAAAAAATACTAAACTTTAAAAAAACTTATGTGAAATTTAGTATAATTATATCAAATATCAAGAATATTAATTAAATTCTTATATAACTTTAATAAATTTCACAAAACTTTTTTTTAAGTTTAGTATTTTCTATATCAAAATTTCGCTTTGTTGCACTTTTTCCCCAATTTGTAAAATACTTTTACAAAATTTAATATATATTCTCTCTCCGTGTAATGAAAAAATTAAAGCAGGTGTTAAAGTGGAATTTTGATTTTACTAATTTTAAAAAGTTGTTATTGTTACACTTTAACCCACGCATACTTCGGACAAATAATTGTTAAAGGCAGTGGATTCCCCTTCTACTTGGTTATTCATTCATTCAGCCATAGGTAGAGAACCTTATTCTTTTAAATGTGAAAAGAGGATAATTTTGGGTAATTAAATTAAAGAAAACAAATGTCATAAACAATTATAAGTATAATTATATTCTGCCCAAAATTTCCTCATACAATTTATATTTTATTTGGTTTATACACTGAGAAAACAGGATATTAAAACTCTTAATATACTAGATATTTAAGAAAAGATGCTAATGCATATCATCCAGATGTTATGGTTTAATATCTCAGATGTTAAAAAGTATAATCTGTAAATGTGAGGTTATGTTTGAACAAGTCTTTTTCAAACATTTTAGATATTAAATTTGAACATCTAAGAAGTTTACATAGTTCACTGTCTCAGATATTGACCATTAATATCTAGATAATAAGGCTTAATATCCATTTTTCTCAGTGTACACCTGTCTTATCAGCCTTACATACTTGTCTATACAAGTGTTTTTACATTTCGTAAATTTCTCTTAAAAATTTTTCCTAATAAACTTAATACTAAATTTTGCGTCTACAGAACGTCTTGAAATTAGGAATACTCGCATTTGTCTGGACCATCCGTCTAATGGGTTTTGATATTAAAATGGGTGTGAATGAGAGTGCAGTGTATGTGTAACGTAGTGTAAGATTACTGTACTCACTATTCGGTAATTCTATCCTTTAGACACTGTAATCCAATATATGTGGTTTGTATTGTTCTCCAAATTAATTTCGTGAGCGATTTTTTAAACAAATTCTGTAAATACCAAATCTAGGGTTACAAGACCGATATTTCGTTATGAACTTTCTTAATTTTCCTCTAAGTTGTACAAATTTGAGACACAAAACCAAATAATCAAAGTCTGTCTTTAAGATGCATATAAATATGTATTAATATATAATAAATATGTCATGTCATAAAGACATTTGAAAATGGCTAATATATAAAGAACGATTTTTTACAACTTGATTGAATTATTTTGCAAACTATGATTGGTTCAAATATTTCGTTCGCGATATTGAATTCGACATTTTAAAATTGGAAAAACTTTCTAGATTCTAGTGTAGCAATCGAAAATCTCTTTTTTTATAAAAGAAAGAAACTATAACTTAGGTATTCATTTGTTTTCCATATTATTGACCAGATTCTCGTTTTTACGATCTTTTTCGAGCGATTTCTCGCTCGAATGCGACACTGAAGATTCATATTCAGCGACCCGAAAAACCCCAAAGTAACATAATTTACCACTATCACAGGATTTTTTAATACTTCATCCTCCATATTAAATCCGCCATTTTGAATTTTGAAAAAGTAGCTAGTGGAGTTTTTTCGCCTGGAAAGCTCAAAAATATACTGATTTTATTATTAATATAATATATTTCATAAACAAAATATATACTATTGTTGCAAATACAATAGTATTTGCAAATAGTGTTAATGTTGCAAATACTATTGTATTTGCAACATTTAATTAAAATAAAAGACAAGATGTCAAAAGCTTTGTAACCTAATAAATCGTTACTCTAATTGACATTGTTATAGAAACGAAGGTTTATTAGAAGTTGTTGCGTTCGTTTGTGATAGTTAATTTTTATGTATAGTTGAATAAGTTGTTTAACTAAGTGTTAATCGTTAATTTTTAATCAATAGCATATTTTACATTTTTCAATTTGTGGTGACATTTTGAGTCAGCCATCTTGAATTTTGACAAAGTAACGTCAGATTCGGAATCAACGACTCAAAATACCTCTGAGTACTTAGCGTCACGCCTATATAGTAAAATCATTAAATTTTATTAATTTAGCCACCTTATTGAATTTACCATTTTGAATTTTTGAAATCTGACTGTAGATGACCAACATTTTCACAAAACTAGATGAGTGTTGCAAAATATGTTGTGTGACACTCGTGTGTAAAGACAATTATACTCGTGTGATTTGTCACACTCGTATAATTACTCACTTTACGCACTTGTATCATAAGTAACTATTGAGCAATGTACAGAAAAAGTCTGATATTATTGATTAGATTTATTTTATATTTACTCACAAGTGTACACATTAATAAAGGCACATTTTTATACATTCTGCACTGAATTTTTTTCAATTTTTGAATAATAATTTTTTGTGCTATTGAGGAAATATGTGTAGTGAAAACAAAAACTACAATAATTATTTATAATTTCAGTTAGGATGCTGTGGATTATACGGGCCATCAGATTACCGTGATAAACAAGGAGTTCCTTGGTCATGTCATAAAGCATCTTTAACAAATGACGCAGAAAACCCGTACTTAGAATCTTTTTATAAAATCGGATGTCTTTATTCAGCACATCAAAACACGCGATCAGTATTATTAAGTTTGTTTCTAACATCACTAGGATCTGTAATTCTACAGGTATGTATTTCAATTATAAACCAATGGTTCACACTTTGTATTTATTATGTGATTTTGGTTTCGTTTGAAACCTAGTTTAATTATTGATTATATAAAAGTAACAAATCACTAAAATATTAGCACATGTAAAAAGCACTGAAAAAAGAACCCAGTGGGCACACTTATTCAAAAGACGTCCTAAGAATGTCTTCTTGCGGACGTCTTTTGGACTTGTACCAAAGACGTCTTTAAGACGTCCTATAAATGTTTTATGTCTTGGCCATTAGATGTCCAAAAGAGACGTCTTTTTCATTCAACTTTTTAAAATAGAAGAATTTTCATAAATAGAAAATATTATTTTCTAAGTTCAACTTGGACCTAGAAACTCATGAATGTAAAAGTCATTGGAATTTTTCTAAGTTAAATTTATTTCATTGACAACTAGGCTTTAGCGAAGCTGAGTGTAGAACAGTGTGTTAATATATTTTCTAGTTGCTTTATATGTTTGTTTCTATAACTATTGAGTAAAGTACATATCGACCGCTTGCGTTTTATAGTGTCTAGTGAGTGAAACATCATTCCAAATTTTATAGTGGATAGTGTTCGCGCTATTTCGTTGACTCCAAATGACGCCGAGCACTGAAACTCCCGCCAAAAAGTAAAATACATCTTACTACAACGAAGTCAACGCCAACTGCGGAACCAAACCTTCAAAAGGTTCAAACTATAAAGGGTAAAAAAATGACACAAAAAAGGAAAGAATCAACCTAGTGAAGGGACTACGAGAACTGACCTCTTCCCCTATTACAAACCAGCGTGGTAAAATAGACGCCATAATTAAAATGCTAGCCATTGACAAGACACACAAAGTGTCTATTATACCGCCAAAACGGAAAATTACGACAGAAAAAGAAATTTCGACAACTGCACCAACATCTAAAAAGACAAAAATAAGGAAGAACACTGTTTCTCGCCCAAATGCAAAATCAGAAAATAAAAATGATAATGACGAGAAGTTCGTAAAAACTCCAATTATTTTAGAAACTCTAACTGACAACACAATAAATCTAGACAAAAGTAAAGCAACACACCTACTGATAGAAGACCCAACTCTGACACCTAATAATAATATACTATTAAATATCTCAGACGAGGAAAAACAATGGACAATAACACCAATTAAAAACAATAAAAATCTCATCATAACATAAGAAGAAAAACTTGATTTCGAAACTGAAATATAAGAAATATATAAAACATCAGACCTATTTGAAACCAGCACTCTCTAGTTATTACAACCAATGGAAATTACCACCAATGACAATCAAATGCACATCCAAGAGCAATCTACTATCCAACATAACACTCATCAAGGAAATGATTCGACTTCCTCCCAAGAAAAACTCGAACAACAACAATCGCCTATCATCGAAAAAATAGTGAAAAACGACGTTCAAACTCACAGCCTAACCGAAAACAATACAAAAAGAAAAAGAAACATCAACACCATCGAGGACGAAAAAGGTCAGGAAACATCATATAAAAATCAACACAAACCAACAACTACAAGAGCCAACAATTAAAGTAAAAAATAAATTTAAAACACAATTACCGCCAATTACACAGGTCAACAAAAAAAGACTTACTTTTTTTATGAGATAGCGGAATGGTTTCCTATGTATTTTTGGACGCTGAACACGATCCCGACTTCCAAAATTGCCCATCACGTCAGGATTTTAAGAAAAGTGGGGGAAAAGACCCCAAAAACTCTTTTTTGAGGAATTTCAACATTTTTTTCTCTTTAACCTGACGTGCTACAGACTTCCACAAGGTCTTAAATTAAAGCTTGTAATGTGCACTACAAGACCCATGTCCATAAAAAAATTAAATTTTTTTTTTAAAAATGGGGTTGAAGACACAAAAAAATTGTGTTTTTGGATTGCTTTAATAGACTTCTTGCAATTTCTTGGATTTGCTTGAAAATGGTTACTTGGGGTTTTTGGGGTCACTGATTACGAATCCGATATTAGTTTGCAAAAATTAAAAATGGCGAATTCGTAATTAGCGACCCCAAAAACCCAGAAATAACAATTTTCAAGCGAATCCAATCAATTCTTAATTTTTACATCTGCCATCTTGGTTCCGCCGTTTTAATTTTTGCAAACTAATATCGGATTCGTAATCAGCGACCCCAAAAACCCCAAGTAACCATTTTCAAGCTAATTCAAGCAATTGCATGAAGTCTATTAAAGCAATCCAAAAACACAAATTTCTGGTTTGTTCATCCCCATTTTTTGAAAAAAAATTTAATTTTTTTTATTTTATGGATATGGCTCTTGTAGTGCACATTACAAGCTTTAATTTAAGACCTTGTGGAAGTCTCTAGCACGTCAGGTTAAAGAGAAAAAAATGTTGAATATCCTCAAAAAAGCGGTTTTGGGGACTTTACCCCCACTTTTCTCAAAATCCTGACGTGATGGGCAAATTTGGAAGTCAGGATCGGGTTTAGCGTCCAAAAATACATAGGAAACCATTCCGCTATCTCATAAAAAAGTAAGTCTTTTTTTGTTGACCTGTGTTATTATACAGAATAATAAAGTACAATTTCTAACAAGTATATTAACTAAAATAATAACAATACAAACTTTCGTCTTCAAAAACCTATCAAACGAAAAAATAGATTTATATCTAAGGAATTACGATAATTTTAATCCAGTAATGGAAAATATAAAAAAATAAAGTCGAATTTCATACGAGAACTACAAAAAAAGATAAAGTTAAAAAAAATAAAGATAAAGTTATTAATTTAATAATAAGTTTTATAAAGTTATAAAGTTAAAGATAAAGCTTCTGAAAGGACTAGCTGGCGATTGTAATGAAAATCCTTAATAGAAAAACAGCTAATTTTTCTTGCTGGGTTTAGATGGTGACGGTCGCGATTGGTTGAAATGCCATGACAAGTTGCGCGCGCAACTGTTTTTACGTATAGTTTAGATGGTGACGGTCGCGATTGGTTAAAATGACATGACAAGTTGCTCGCGCAACTGTCTTTACGTATATTTCATAATAAGGGTAGTAATTGGTAGAGATGCCATGACAAGTTGCGCGCGCAACGTGGAACATAGTCAATTTGATTTTTCACACAGCGTGTGGACATTCGTCTTGGATTCTCTCTTGAGTGAATTGTGTGAATGAAGGAATTAAATTAAAAAGTAAATAACAGGTATGTTTTTATTGTTTATTATATAACATATATAGTTAAATACATGCATATTACGTATATTTTTATGGTAGGTCAAATTGTCAAATTTCCGAGAAATAATTTTTGAAAATCTAATTTTTTTAAAGTATACATCTGTTTAATTACTTATATAACTTGAAAATATTTCAAATTACAAAAATTTTATAATTTTTATTAAAAAATAGATTGATAACAATTATTTATAAACAAAAAATAATTGTATTCTTACTGTATATACATACAGACATAGATTATATACTTGAGTGTTACTAATTATTAAAATTTGTTTCAGGTATCTCAGTGGATGTTATTGGTTTTTGGAAATTTGTTCTTGGAAATTGTTTGTTGTAATTGTTTTTTACCTATTTGGAAGTTGACTTTTGGATTGTTAAGTTATTGTTGAATTACTAGATTTAATTACTGTATAAATATTGTAATTGAATGGTTAAGATTTTGTTGAAATTTGTATTTGTTCCTTTGAATATGGTGTCAAGTAATTGTTAATATTTTTATTTGATAATGAAAAAGAACTGAAAAATTTGATATTTTCTCATGTTAAAAGAAAGATTAAAGTTTCTAAAGATGAAATGTTGGATGACTAGAAAAATTATATAGTTTAATTTGTGAAATAATACATCACCGGTCTAAATTTAGAAACCAGCCATTTTCAGAAGAATGAAAATCATTTTCTGTTGATATTTTGAAAGAAGATAAAATTTTGAAAAGATCAAGATATTTTAGAAGTCGTTTTGCCGATAATTTATTTAGATACTTTTAAAGAATCGTCATTTTCAATGTTGTACAAAAACTTGAATAACTTCTAAAATAATGAACGCTTTTTAATGACCTTAGGCTTATTTTAAATAACTATAAAAATTACTTATAGGCATTAACGTGTAATTTTTTTTAGAAAATGCCATATATTTTATGTTTTAAAATGTTTTTCAATCACCTGAAAATGGGTAGTCTTTAAATTTTGACCGGTAGTGTACCTCGAATACTACTGACAAGATTTATTTTGTGATATCATTTTGTAATAATACTATAAATAGTACTATAAATAGATTATATGATTATCTATTTTTCACGTCTATTGTGATTTAAGGTATTAGTCGCGCAGTTGGCGCTGGTCAAAAATTTACCGGGCCGCTTACTAGAGTGGGGCAGTGAGAGTGAGAGAGATAGTTTAACTCCCCACTCTATTCGTTCGTATGAAAATTCATATAGTTTAGTAATTTTTTTAACTTTCTGTCAATATATTTATAGCTTGGCGCGGTAAAAAAATGTCATGTTTTTTTTATTTATTTGTTTCATCTAATTGAATACTTTGGTAGTTTTATTTCAAAATCTGACGATTAGTTATCATATAAATAATTATTAAACAAAATCAATACATGCATTGGGTGCTCCCTCCATGCAAAATGTATGAACTTTGAATTCATTTTTTGAAGCTTTGAAACGGTCAAAATTAATGAAATTGGTCTCATTCTGTAGATAAATACTTCAGGAATAAGTATGCAAAATTTGAAAAAAATCTGACGAAAACCATTTTACGCGACTAATACCTTAATAAAGTATTTTATTTTTAAAATGTTAAATATTTTATTTTTAAATTATTGTAGTACATCTATTGAATAAGAAATTAGTTTGTATTTCATGTTTTTATTTTTGATAACAATTTATAAAAGTTTGTTTTATGAAGCTGCTTTAATTTTTATAAACAATTACATTATTTAGGACAATTAGATTAAGTAATTTAGCTTCTATTAAATTTATTATT